AACTCCTTGGGGTGAGGTCCCTTCACACATGCCCCCAATAGAGTATTTCAGGGGACCCCCAAAGTTGATGGACATTGCCATTCAAATATTGTGCATGTGTCTTGTGATCAGTTATGTGCGGCGGGGCTTGCCTGAGCCCCCCCCCCCCAATATTTTATTCAGGTAAACACCTCTACTTGGGTCTTCTGAGCAGAAATGTCCTTGCCCAATATGGTATATTGATCCCTGGAAAGCAGCTTGGGGGGTGAAGTAGTTGTTGTGGGAGCTGTGGAATAACACAAAGTGACTTCTGCGGGTATGTGGCACAAAACCATATGGATAATGTGTGTGATGTAACACAAAATGACAGCAACATCTAAGAGAGGAAGGGATAGGACCACACATGCGTGTGCACACACGCACACACACTCAAAAGGTATGGAAGGACCCCATTCTGCACCAGTTGCCACCCACAGAAATGGGGAGAGGCACTTACACCAACCAGCCCTATGTAGTCACAGAGCAAAACTCTCCTCCTATGTTCAAAATGGAAGGGATGGGTTCAATCCTTGCGTCAGTTTTCTGAACAATTTAAGGGGATGTGTTCAATGCCAACCAGTTTGAGGCAGCTGAAACGAGAACTGAGCAGGAAGAGCAAACTGTTCCCTGTGCGTTGTGAATTTTGGAGGGGATATTTATTGAGGCGTTTCATGGGCACCGTAGTGGGTACCGGCAGGTAGACTGGTCCCCGTGGGCACATTTACAGCTCCTGCCACAGCGTGAGCAGAATGGTGTATTCCGCTCAGGCCCAGTTCAGGACATTTTGCTGCCCGAGGGAAGGGACAAAATGGTGTCCCCTTCTACATGCAGAAGCCAACTGGGTGGCCAGTTGACTCGCACATCAACAACGCAGGTGGCAGGATAGTATCCTTCGCCCACACCTAAGGCAACAGGCTAGTTTAAAGGGTGGAGACCAAGCTGTGTGGCGTACAGAGCCAAGTCCTCCAGCCAGGAAGAATGGCCAGGGACTCGGGCAAGGATGGTTGGGCAGAGGCCTACCTCGCTCCACAGCAACTGCCGCCTGAGGCGATTGCCTCATGGTGTCCAATCTTAGAGACAGTCCTACATCTGTTCACAGAGGGGGGTGTTTGGATTCGGTCACATCTTCTGGAAGTATTCCTATTGCTGAGTCATGGAATTATTGCGATGTGTTGGGTTTTATGGAAATCAATGGAGGGAGTGAGGAGGACCCACTAACAGAAAGCAGGAACTGTTGCAGAAAGGCATACGGGTTCCATGAATAAAGGATTCCACTCCATACACGATGCAAGAATCCTTAGGAAACACGGGAGATACCATATTAATGCCATTTTTTGAGGCCTTCTCTGCAGTGGCTCCCCATCTGTGGAACGCTCTCCCCAGGGAAGTTTGCTTGGCGCCTTCATCATACACCTTTAGGTGCCAGGCAAAAACTCTTTAACCAGGTCTTTGGTTGATTTGATTGACATCCTATGCCCTTTTAAAATGTGTTGTGGTTTTTGTTTGTTTTTTTGTTTGGAAAGGAGGTTATTGGGTTGTTGCTGTTTTTATTCGGATTATGTATTTTGTGGTTTTATATTTTGATTTTATTCTGTGAACCGCCCTAAGACCTGCGGGTGTAGGCCAGTACATGAATTCAAGGAAATAAATAAATAATCAGGGAGGATAAAAGACCCAGGAAAACGAAGAACAGAGTGCAAAAACAGTCTGTGTGAGCATGAGGAATAACGTTGCAGCAAAACTGTATTCAAAATGCCCTTTTTGCACCTGATCACTTCATTCCACAACTGAGGCGAAGGAGACAATGCAGCACAACAGTCTAGTTTGTCTGTGAGGGTTACAGTAGCTAGTTCATATCCTACAAACCTTCCCCATTTAGCCTGCAAACGTTTTATCTAAGGGCGTGTGAGCCCTCCAAGACACATCTAAAGGCAGCCCTGTTTAGGGAAGTTTTTAATGTTTGATGTTTAATCGTGTTTTTAATATTCTGTTGGAAGCCGCCCAGAGTGGCTGAGGAAGCCCCGCCAGATGGGCGGGATACAAGTAATAAATTATTATTATTATTATTATTATTATTACCAAGTAAAGGACCAGCCTTCCTGGAAAGCCTTAAACTCCACTTCCCATGCAGCCAGCTTCCCCCAAACCGATCTCAAAACTGTTCACTACAACAAATGCATTATTCTTAAGCATCTCCAGTTCTTTCTGATGTTTTGGCTAACACAGACCAACACGGCTATCCATGGGCATAGCCAGGATTTTTGTTGAGGAAGGCAGGACTTTTGGGGGGGGGGCAGAAGCGACATGATCCATCAGTTAAGTATTTCTATTGTTTTACTTGATGGCGGGGGCAGCTGCCCCCCTGCCCCGCCCCTTGTCTAGGCCCATCTGGGTATCCTATGCAGATGCGATCTTCATATAAGAATTTGGATGGGTTTAAAAGAGAGTTAGAGACAGGTTGGTGCAGTGGGCTAAGCAAATTCCTATCAATCCAGCTGAGATCTTCTTAACGTTCTCAAATTGTCTTGTGGGAAGCAACCCTGGCTTACTTTCAGAAACTTTCTTTTGCAGTTCTCCCAATTATCTTTCAGGTGTGTTGCATAGCGAGTTCTCCCCCCCCCCCCAATGGAAATAAAGTCGCATGACACAATTATTAAGGTTAATGGGCTAAATAAGGCCACAAATTTATTGGTTACAGGTGATGAGTGGTATTGGCTTACACATTGGACTATATCCGGCTTCAGCCCGTCCGCTTGGAGTCCGGGAAGGGTTAACCACCAGTAGGGGGAGTCCTGCTGATGCACATCAACTAGGAACTCCCCCAGGGTCACCACTAGGGGGGGTGCCTTAGGCCCTCACATCCATAGGCTTTGGACAGGGCCACGCCCCCCGGAATCCTTTATCAGTCTACCCTTCAATATGTGAGGCAGGTGATGGCGCTACCTCCCCTCTTCCATCTACAGAGCAATACCAATGCCTAACCGCTAATACCAATTACAGATAGGTAGCCATGTTGGTCTGCCATAGTCAAAACAAAAAAAATTCCTTCCAGTAGCACCTTAAAGACCAACTAAGTTAGTTCTTGGTATGAGCTTTCGTGTGCATGCACACTTCTTCAGATAAGAAGGTATCTGAAGAAGTGTGCATGCACACGAAAGCTCATACCAAGAACTAACTTAGTTGGTCTTTAAGGCGCTAATACCAAGAAAGTTGTGACAATTTGTTACGAGGTAGGCGAAAACCAAGTGGCCCGTGCCAATTTGCCAAGTGGAAAAATTCCTACCAGGCCCCTCAACGGCGACAAACCAAGGTCCATAGCAAGGTCAAGGAACGAAAACTTATAAAGGGCGGGAGGGTGGGAAACAGGAACAGCTGGTAGGCAACAAAAGAGGGAGATCCCTGGCCGCGCCTGTGTTAAACAGGGCAGGCCACACCTCCAGAGCCAGCTGATTGGCTGGCCAGGGGGTGACATGGCCGGGGATTCCCCCAATTGCGCAGGGGCCGGGCTCCAGCCACCATGCGTGTGGTGGGGCCATGAACCCCACCTCCTCTGCAGGGCGGAAGTGGCTTTGATAAGTGTATCTGCTTTTTACGTCCAGGGAACAGAGAACTTGTGAGCTTGGATGTGGGATGTGTGGAGAAGAGTATCTCAGATTGGCGCAAGCCATGGTTAGGAACCGAACACTGATGCAGAAGAGAACCTATGGGGAAATGGAATCGTTGGTTTGGGGAAGGGTACCTTTGCGTGATCGTGGGACTTGTAGCAGTATATGGAATTCATATGCCTGTCCTACGTTCAACAGGCAGGCAAATAGCTCAGTCGCATTGACCACACCTTCTTCCCTGTTTATTTTCTTTACTCTCCAGGTGTGGTTGGGCTCCAAGTGGACTCCAATTCCCACCATCTCTGATTGTTGTCCATGTTGTCCATTGGGAATCCTTTGTCCAGGCTGTCCATTGGGGCACCACGTTGGCGATCCTTGCTCTGCACCTTTGGAGCAGTGTTATAAACTGAGATATATAAGCTGGGCGCCAAATGGCTCCTTAAACCAGTGTTACAGCTGCCAAAATGGAACGCCTAGTTGCCATTTCTGGCCAGACAGCTCTAAGGTTGCATTTTTCAATACAAGGTTTTGGTTCCTGAAATTCGTTCTGATTGTGTAGGTAGAATATCACAGATAGAATTCTACAGGGTGTGTTGCTAGTGTATGGGAAGAGTCAAGATCCTAGCATCTCCATCTCCAGATGGTGGAGATGTCAGACTCAGGCACTATCCTGTCGCCCGGGCATCATCACTTGGTCGCGAGTGGTTGACAGCCAGGGGCAAACTGCACCTGGCAAATTTCGAATGTTGCTGCTTTGGAGGAAAGAGACATCAAGTCTCTGGCCAACACAAGGCCCCTTGTCTTTTAGTAGGCCCATCCCATCCAGTAGAGGCCTGCAAAAATGGGAGTGGCTGGGGAAGGTTTGCTTTTAGGTCAACAGGGGATGGTTGGCAGCCAATATATTTCCCCAGACTTTGCGAACCAACTTACCGGCGTCTGCTGTCATCCATCCAACGCGTGCTTATTTTAGCTGCCACGACATATTGTTCTGTTAATGGTCACTGTTTATTATGTGCCCACACGAACTGTCTGTATATGTCGGTGTGTCTCTTGCTAGGCTCCTTCCATCCCTCTTTTATTTACTTAATTCCTTTTCCGTTTCCTGGTTCTTTTTCTCCTTTACGTTCGTTTGTGCGTGTTCATTAGAGCTTTTCGGAACGATGCTGTGTTTTGGTGCTTATAATTTTTTTATCCCCCTTTCTTTCTTTCCAAAAAATATCTTATGATTTCGTAATTCTTTTGCCGTTCTAATCTATATCTTTCCTTCCCACCGTCCCGCCTTTTTTTTTCCAAACTATATATAAATACAAAGATATATATATAAAAAAATCTTTTCTTCTTTTGTCATTCAATCAAATTCCAACAATACCAACCAAGAGCCAGTCAAATCCACCACAGTCTCGCGCTGAGCTAGGAAAAAAGTTCACGTAATGACAGGAAAGTGGAGAATACAGTCCCCCAGTCCGTAAGTTCAAATCAACTCGAAGTTGAAAGTGTGACATGATGGCGCCATGTAACGAAGCTAAGAATTGGTTGCATGACATGCCGTCAAGTTTCGTGGAGGTGCCGTGATTGAAGCATTTTTTCTTGGATGTTGTATCGGTTGATGATTGGCCAGTCATGATCACATGTGCCTTTCTTGACTTTTGTGCTGCCACGGTTTTTTATTGCTGTGCTCATTTTTTTAATTATATTTTTTTTATTATTTCCTATTATTTGTTCGTTTCCTTTAGTGCTTGCAGTGGTTTCTTTGTTGTTTAATTTCTCGTTCAGCGGTTTTTGCTTCTTTAGATTATCACACGGAAAGAGGGGAAACGTGAATTCTTAATTCTTTCGGGGGCGGAAAGGGGGATTGTTATAAATGTATGAATAATTCCTAGTTTCTTTTTTTTAAAAAAAGGAAGCAGGGGGGGAAATGTGTGATTGGTATTCTTGCACTCTAAAATCTTGTGTTTTCTTTTTTTTCAATGGATAATTGGGGGCCTTTTTCAATTGATCTTTTTTCTTTCTTTCTTCCTTAAGATATTTCAAATCGCTCTCAAAAATTCATAGAGTTAATCGCAGCAGTTTTTACAAATGCAAAGAGCTACCTTCCAAAGCAAGCTAGAAAATAAAACCTCCGGCTTCTAACGTGCCTTATTAGAATTCCTAATTTGCCTCATAGCGCAATAACTCTCAATAAATCCATCCTGTCTGGGGAGGGGGGGTGTTATTTGGGGGAGAGGGAAAAAAATCCTGATTCAAAAGTAAAATGCATTTTTTCTTTTTGTTTGTTTACAACTGAAAAAGGGTCCTAGATGAGTGTTTTCCTTTTTTTATTTCTTATTCTATTCTTATTATTTTTGGTGTTGTAATTGTTTAGACTGCTGTGTACGGTTTGCTGTTTGTTCAATCAACAGTGTCGGAAACCTGCCAGCATGTTTTGATATAACGCATGACACCTTCCCCACCAGAGGGGAGCTTTGCAGTTTCTAAGTTTCTTGATGTAATAAATCACCAAGTGTATAAGAAGAGAAACCTGCTTGCTAGCAAGAGATAAGAGCTAATCCGTAATGATTAAGCATCCTCCTTAAATGTCAAGTTTAGTTGGATCATGATTAAAAAAAAAATATTTAAGAAATGTTAGCTTTACATTTTTAGTTTATTTTATTGCACAGAGAGAGAGAGAGAGAAGGAGAGGAAGTTGGTTCCAAGTCATTTTATTTTTTGAAGCCACCTGTGCAAAAAGTGTTTCTTTCTGCCATTTGCAAAAGAAAATATCTTCCTGGCAGCTTAGCTGCCCACAGAAAGTTGAGAGGGGGGGGACTTTTAAAAGGACAATTTCTCCTTGCTTTCCTATAAGCGGCCCACAAAATTAAGCTAAGGAGCATGTGTGCTTTACCAGACGATGACAGACCCAGCTGCCCAAGTTAGAGTCTTGACTTTTTCGTGGTAGAAAAACGAAAGCTTGGGGAAGGGGTGGTGTAATTCTAAACTGTCATAGTCAAACAAAGGAAAATCACTTTTTTATAGATGATAGATAGATGATAGATAGATAGATGATAGATAGATAGATGATAGATAGATAGATAGATGATAGATAGATAATAGATAGATGATAGATAGATGATAGATAGATAGATGATAGATAGATAGATAGATGATGATAGATGATAGATAGAGAGATGATAGATAGATAGATAGATAGATAGATGATAGATAGATAGATGATAGATTAGATAGATAGATGATAGATAGATAGATGATAGATAGATAGATAGATAGATAGATAGATAGATAGATGATAGATAGATAGATAGATAGATGATAGATAGATAGATGATAGATAGGTAGATAGTTAGATGATAGATAGATAGATATAGATAGATAGATAGATAGATAGATAGATAGATAGATAGATGATAGAGATAGATAGATAGATGATAGATAGATAGATAGATAGATAGATAGATAGATAGATAGATGATAGATAGATAGATGGTAGATGATAGATAGATGATAGATAGATAGATAGATAGATAGATAGATAGATAGATAGATAGATGATAGATAGATAGATGGTAGATGATAGATGATAGATAGATAGATAGATGATAGATAGATAGATAGATAGATAGATAGATAGAGATGATAGATAGATAGACAGATAGGTGATAGATAGATTAGATAGATACATAGATGATAGCTTAGATAGATGATAGATAGATAGATAGATAGATAGATAGATAGATAGATGATAGATAGATAGATAGATAGATAGATAGATAGATAGATAGATGATAGATAGATACGATAGATAGATAGATTGATAGATGATGGATAGATATAGATAGATAAACTACAGTATCTTTTTCCTTCCAGTGTGCAGGGAAGGTTTATAGACATGGCTACATCTGAGAAAGCCCGTGTAATTCCAGTGTTCCACAAAGCCCTCCACAGCACGCTTCTATTTTGGGTTGTAGATGGGTCTTTCCTGAATTCAGTCTATGGAGAGTGACTTGGGGGAACGCTCCCATAGTTTGACAGTGTGGAAGCACCCTGATATTTGGCAAATGCAGAAATGTGGGACTTAGCAGAGCCTAGGCATCACGGCAGCCCCGAAGCCCAATCCAAAGCTTTGTGGCAACCGAGGTGCATGACACAGAACTCTCTGGAGAACAGCTTTGCACACTCATTATGGCATCTCCAGCAGCTACCCGTCTGCAGTGAGGGTGCAATATCTGGCGCTGTCTCATAATCTGAAGTGAACGGGGAAGAGCTCACTTGTTTGAAAGCCCTGCTTGAAGGCTCCAGCTCCCAAACAGACGAGGAGCCATGTGAAATCAGGCTGTGTATGAATGCACATTATCATGGCACAGTGTTGCTGTTTCTTAAGAGGAGTAAACATTTCAGATTTCATTATGAGCAGAAGTTCCTTGTAGTCAGGGGCCGTTAGGAGCTAGGAAGACACCGGCAAGACTTTGCACCACTTATGGGAGATGGATTACTTAACGTTCTCAAAATGTTCCAAAGCAGTTTAGGGATCTGATCTTGAACCCCTTTGCCAAATTTGCATTTAGTTCCCACAATGAGAGCAAGGTTGTCTTGGAAACAGGTGTTCTCCTAAATTTCCTCTTTTTTTTCTTTTCTTTTTAGGTATACACTTTTGAACTTCTCTTCCCTTGTCAGTTTTCTCTATCTTTCATTCTTCCTCGTTTAATTTCTTGGAGGTTGTTTTTCTTTTCTTTTCTTAACTGGTAAAACGTGTGTTGGTTAAATCTGCAATGATCTTCTTCATCTCTTTTTAGGGCATCAGCTGAATGGGCCACATTTAGAGAAATATATATATATATATTAAATAAATATATATAGGAACGAGAACTGTTGGATTACACCTTTAACATATCAGCAAATATCAGTCAAGCTGAAGACTTCAGACTTACTCTCTTTCTGATTGTTTAGACTGTACCATTTCTTTAAGAAAAGTCACGTCAGCTGGGTTCGAAAGGACATAAGCTTGAAACAGAAACATAAATAACAACAACAACAACAAAACCACAGACAAAATCACGACAGGAGCAAGATCGTCTAGGATTTCTGCAGTGAAACTGATGTTACCACAGCGGCTTTTCTCCAAACAGGAAATGCAAACCTTGATACTGACAAGAGGAGTGCCTGTTTGCCACCAAGGATGCAGTTGCTATGGAAACCCCATGGCACCAGTCACTAAGCATCTTTATCTGTCATTCCTTAGCTATATAGGGACCAAAGGACATAACTTTTTATCGCAGACTTGTAGCTGTATGTAAATTACAGAAGTTCTTTCCTTTTCTCATGAGCTGTTCCTATAACAGGTTTTGAGAGCAATTATATGAAATATGTAAAAACTAAAAAAAAAACAACCGCTTAAACGCTTTTAAAAAAAATGGCAAGATAATAGTTCTTTGATACTTGGGGAGGATCTTTGGTTATACATTAATTAAGAGTCTATGAAACTTTCGTATGGTTTTCTGTATAATATGTATGGATTGAGTGCTTAGAAGGGGAAGGTTGAGGTGGGTATCTGGAAAGCAGACAAAGGAAAAGGAGAAACCCACAAAAATAAGCAGATCACTGGACTGGAAAGTGATGGTGATGATGATGATGATGATGATGATGAAGAAGAAGGCGCAGAAGACGAAGACAAGAAGGCTGATGCAAAGTAGAAAGAACACAAGTTTGTAAATGCTTCTGACTCCACCCGCCCTAAAATAGCTGTACAGAATTTAAAAAAGAAAAAAAAGTTTAAAATACCTATATAATAGGGGGGAAAGGATTAGATGACATAAAAAAGCAAAAATAAAAAAAATAAAAAAGCAAAAAAAATATACATAGAGGTTAGCATTAATGCTAAAAAAAAAAAAATCCACAAAGATGTTGTAGAACTGTAACTTTTGTAGAGTTTAGAATGAAATCAGTTCCTGCTCTCAGCCAACTGCTGTTGGAAGCTGTGTCTTATTGGGGGTGGGGGGAAGGGGGGGCAAAGGAGAAGATGGCTGATCTCGGCAGCTTTTTAAACTGCAAGCATTCCAGCTAGTAATAAATAAATAAAACTAATAAGCAAACGAAACAAAACAAAAAAATCTCAATTCCTGTAGGCAACGCAAAGGGGGGCGGGGGACTTGACGGCTATCTTCTTGCAGACTATCGGAAGTTAGTTCGAACTTGACGAAAAAATAAATAAACTGGAAAAAGAAAACCACAGCTAAGACGCTTTCATGTTTCCATAAGCTGTCGCCAGCAACCTCCAATCATCTTTCGCTTCAGTAGCTTCCATATTTGCTCTAGAACCCTTCAGGACGGGGGTGGGGTGGGAGCGGGGTTTAGCCTAGAACCTTAATCTTAAAAAAAAAACCACAAAAAACATTTAAAAAAAAATATTTAAAACACAAAAACAAAAAACAAAAAAAATTACAAAAATGCAATCTCTTTGAAGAATTTCTGAAACTGTTTACAAGGAATTTTGAAAAACAGGGGGATGTTTAAAAATAAAAGATGCTGGCTCTGTTTTTCTGTAAATAAATTTGCATATTTTGTAGGACTTTTAATTGTAATGATAGAGAAAAAAAATCAAGGAAAACTATTTAAGGAAAGCACGATATTTATCTTTGGTAAATGACTTTAGAGCAGTTTAAAAAAAAGTTGCTTTAAAATCTGAATCAGAAAAATAGAAACAATGAATTATTTAAGAACACATATATTTTAAAGTATATCATATTTATTATAATTTATTTCCACTGTGTTAAAACTTGATTTTTAAGGGTGTGTTTTTTCCCCTTTACTCCATTTTATTGGACCGAGAACAACGACACTGTTCTTTTACGAATAATTGTTTGCCTTTTCGTTCAGATTTGGGGGATTTCTTATTTTGTTTTTTAAAGAAACTGTTCTCTGTCTTTCTCCCTGTTGGGCCTGATTTTGAAGTCTTTATACTGGCTAAACACCCCCCTGGTCTTCTCTGGTTGTTTGGCTGGGTTGAGACCACTGAAACAAGCCCCTAATCTAGGTGTGTAAATGACTTCGCAGTTCCATACAACTGCTCTCTGATTCTCAATTCCCTAAAACTCCTTGTAATCTTCTGTAATTATTGAATGACGCTTACCAGCTTAGCCCTAAATAAAGCACAGTTTAAAAAAAGAAGTAGCACGCTTTACTTCTCAATGGTTTCCCTCCCACCCTCCCTTAATGTGTTTGCTCTGAGAACCAAATGAATCGCTTTCGACTATTTCATTAATATACATTGTTTGAGTATCAGAACAAATCCCTTTGTGATATAAAACATATCTCGCTGGACTGAATTAGCGACACGGTCTCATTTAATGTCTGCTTGGTATTCCACAGCCATTGACCTTAAACCTAGTAGGTGATGAGATCAAGAAAAAGTACACACAAATTAGAGATATTACTTCACCCAACACAAGACGGCTGTTTGATTTCAGACTTGGGGGGGCTTTTTAATGATGAAAAGGAAGAAGGCCAAAATTCAAGACATTGCCTGGAGGCGGTTAGAGGATGGATGGCGGCTAATGGATTGAGGTTGAATCCTGACAAGACAGAAGTACTGTTTTGGGGGGACAGGAGACGGGCGGGTGTGGAGGACTCCCTGGTCCTGAATGGGGTAACTGTGCCCCTGAAGGTCCAGGTGCACAGCCTGGGAGTCATACTGGACTCACAGTTGTCTATGGAGGCGCAGGTCAAATCTGTGTCCAGGGCAGCTGTCTGCCAGCTCCATCTGGTACGCAGGCCTGAGACCCTCCCTGCCCGCACACTGTCTTGCCAGAGTGGTGCATGCTCTAGTTATCTCCCGCTTGGACTACTGCAATGTGCTCTATGTGGGGCTACCTTTGAAGGTGACCCAGAAACTACAACTAATCCAGAATGCGGCAGCCAGACTGGTGACTGGGAGCGGCCGCCGAGACCACATAACACTGGTCTTGAAAGACCTACATTAGCTCCCAGTACGTTTCCAAGCACAATTCAAAGTGTTGGTGCTGACCTTTAAAGCCCTAAACGGCCTTGGACCAGTAGACCTGAAAGAGTGTCTCCACCCCCACTTCTCCTTTCAACTGTCATTGAAACCTCTCTCTCTTTTTTGCATGCAAATGCAATTTTTTCAGCAATGGTGTCACACAGTGGTTCTGGTAATGATAATAACAGTCTGCCCAAGGGAGCAGTCAAGCCTCAGAATTTTGCCCTAGCTGCAGTTTCAGGGGCAGCCCCACATAGAACACATTGCAGTAGTCCAGCTTGAAGATGCGACTGAATTGCAGGGAATGGGAGGGACACAAAGGCAAACGGTTGTTGCAGGAATAAAACCAAGTTGCTGGAACTGAAATGCACACATGCACATATATTCAAACATTTCTGGGTAGATTGCTTCCTGGTCCACACACGGAAAGGCTATTTTAAAATGTATACAGGAATCAAGCAGAGTTTACTTCTCCCGTCCTGACGCTAAACACATTTACCTGGGAACAGCAAGCATCCGTTTTGCCGTAGAAAAGGGTAGCACATTTTTAAAGTGAAGATAATAAACTGAGCATCTGTGGCTAATTAGACACCTGGAGAGCCACTTCCCGATTATAAAATGTTTATATATATATATTTTAAAGCATACTGTGTTGACCAGCGTTAGACCTGGTGTCCAGCCTAGATGCTAACATGGAGCCTGTCTGCAGCTGCTCCTATCATATGCTGGTCTTGAGGTGGTCGTTTGGAGGCCTCCTAAGCTATGGAGCTACTGGCCTGATCCCACAAACTCTTCTTATGCTCTTTTGTTCTTAGTTAGTAGATCTTTCAAAGTGTTGCTTTTGACCTATAAAGCCTTAAATGGCTCAGGACCGCAATATCTCAAGGAGCACCTCTCCCCGTATGAACCTACCCAGACCCTGCAATCATCACCTGAGGCCCTTTTTCATATGCCTCCTCCACAAGAGGTCCGGAGGGTGGCAGAACGAGGACAGGGCCTTTTCCACAGTGGCTCCCCGTTTATGAAATGCTCCTCCCAAGGAAGCTCACCTGGCCCCTTTGTTACACACTCCCAACTCTGAAACCCACTGGGAGGGGCCATGGGGGGTCATCTAGGGCACCCCTCAGCAATTCAAGAATCATTCGCCCAGCATGGGACTTGAACTCACAACCTTGAGATTAAGCGTCTCATGCTCTACCAACTGAAATGATCTCCTAGTAAGGCTGTTTATTGCCAACGTGGTTCACGCAGGTAAGTGTCTTGCAGCGGGAAGATTCGGGCTTGGGGTGGGCGCCATTCTTCCCCCAGTGGGGGTGGTCAAGACGCGGTTGGAGGATGGATGGTGGCTAACAGATTGAGGTTGAATCCTGACAAGACAGAAGTACTGTTTTGGGGGGACAGGGGCGGGCAGGTCTGGGGGACTCCCTGGTCCTGGATGGGGTAACTGTGTCTCTGAAGGACCAGGTGCGCATCCTGGGAGTCATTTTGGACTCACAGCTGTCCATGGAGGCGCAGGCCAATTCTGTGTCCAGGGCAGCTGTCTGCCAGCTCCGTCTGGTACGCAGGATGAGACCTTCCCTGCCCACGGACTGTCTCGCCAGAGTGGTGCATGCTCTAGTTGTCTCTCGCTTGGACTACTGCAATGCGCTCTATGTGGGGCTACCTTTGAAGGTGACCCGGAAACTACAACTAATCCAGAATGTGGCAGCTAGACTGGTGACTGGGAGCGGCCGCTGAGACCACATAACACCAGTCTTGAAAGACCTACATTGGCTCCCAGTACGTTTCTGAGCACATTCAAGGTGTTGGTGTTGACTTTTAAAGCCCTAAACGGCCTCGGTCCAGTATACCTGAAGGAGCGTCTCCACCCCCATCATTCTGCCTGGACACTGAGGTCCAGCGCCGAGGGCCTTCTGGTGGTTCCCTCGCTGCGAGAAGCCAAGTTACAGGGAACCAGGCAGAGGGGCTTCTCGGTAGTGGCACCCGCCCTGTGGAACGCCCTCCCACCAGATGTCAAAGAGAGGAACAACTACCAGACTTTTAGAAGACATCTGAAGGCAGCCCTGTTTAGGGAAGCTTTTAATGTTTAATAGGTTATTGTATTTTAATATTCCATTGGAAGCCGCCCAAAGTGGCTGGAGAAACCCAGCCATATGGGCAGGGTATAAATAATAAATTTATTATTATTATTATTATTATTACAAAAGTCTGTGCTAGAATGACAACACCATCTGGGCACCTCAAGACAACCCAAGATGGCGGCTGTTCCTGTAGAAGCACAAGGGCAGCTTTCCTTCAACAGTCTGCTCCACCTCTTCCACTCAGCTCCACTTTGGGTGGGTGTGGAGATCCAGACCTTCCAGAGAAGGATTCCCACATGCTTGGTGTCATGAGTAAACCAGGCCAATGGTGCCAGTGCATGAAGCATCAGCATGACAGCATCTCAGAACCGTTTCCCTCGTGAGGTTGTGGACTCTCCTTCCTTGGAGGTTTCTAAGCAGAGGTTGGATGGTCATCTGTCAGGGATGCTTGAGTTCAGGTTCCTGCATTGCAGCAGGTTGGACTAGATGACCCACAGGGTCCCTTCTAACTCTACAATTCTATGATTCTGATTCAGACTCCAGGCTTGGGTATGGGAGTGGAAATCCACTGTGGTTCACATCCTACCTAACTCACACGTCGAGAAAGGATGCACAAACAGAAAGGCAGCTCTCCTTCAAAAATTCACAGTTCTTCGAGTTTTGCAATGCAGGTCTTCAGCCAAAAATATATGTACCTAAAGGGGAAAGTGGACACTATTATTATTATTATTATTATTATTATTATTATTATTATTATTCCCCGCCCTTCTGGCTGGGTTTTTCCAACCACTCTGGGTAGCTTACATTACCCACGTCTGTGCATGCACGGGTTGCGATTCAGTGCTTCTGTGCGTGCGCAAAGAGCGATTTAGCGCTTCTGCGCATGCGCGACCGCCAAAATCTGGAAGTAACCCGTTCTGGTACTTCTGGGTTTCGGTGGTCCGCAACCTGAAGTGTCTGTAACCCGAGGTATGACTGTATAGTAAAAGATCAAGCATTAAAAACCTCCCAATATAGGGCTGCCTTCAGATGTCTTCTAAAGTTATGTAATTCTTTATCTCCCTGAAATCTGAAGGGAGGGCGCCACTACCAAGAAGGGCCTCTGTCTGGTTCCCTGTAACCTCACTTCTCGCAGTAAGGGAACCAGCAGAAGGCCCTCGGATCTGGACCCCAGTGTCTGGGCTGAGCGATGGAGGTGGAGACGCTCCTTCAGGAATGCTAGGGCAAAGCACATGTTGTTGTTGTTGTTAAATGTGTATACCATCCTATACCTACAGATCTCAGGGTGGTTCACAACATAAAATCACAATATAGAAACACAAAATACATAATAAAAATCAAAACAAGAACAACCCAACACATTTTTAAAGGGCATTGGATGTCTGTCAGCCAAAAGCCTGGTTAAAGAGGAACGTTTTCGCCTGGCACCTAAAGATGTATCATGAAGGCGCCAGGCAAACTTCCCTGGGGAGAGCATTCCACAGATGGGGAGCCACTGCAGAAAAGGCCCTGTTCTTGTGTTGCCACCCTCCGGACCTCTTGAGGAGGAGGCACACGAAGGAGGGCCTCAGAAGATGACCTCTGGTAGGTTCATATGAAGAGAGGCGGTCCTTGAGGTATTAATGAAAATAACCAATTAAAATGCATTTATTCGAGAAAACGGCTTGCAAAAATGTGTCTATCATGGGGAAGCACTGCAAAGAAAAATCTGCACTTTAAAGCGGTTACAATTTTCATGAGGGCCTTTTCTTTAAAAAAATAAAAATGCAACAAACTGATGCGGGAAATATTGTGAAGTGAATTTAAGATTGGAAAAATGAAAAACTGAGATTGACAGATGCTGCAAGTAAGTTCTTGAATTTCACTCTTGGGGTCTGGGGGTGGGAGTAATCATGAGTCAGACATGACAAGAGTCAGACCAATAATAGCATAAATGGGAAAGGTCTGCTTACATCGAAGCACAGAAATGATGGGGAGAATACACTTTTAGCAGTAACTGAAATTCAAGGGTTGAAAAAGCGAGCAATTTATGATTGGGAAACAACATTAGACTGCTAAGTAAGACTATTAACCAAACAGCT